GTAGCTTTCGAGAGGCACTTCTGCTCTTTGGCCCTTCCCTTTCGCGGCTTTGGAGCGTGCGAGCAGCATCTCCTCCCTGGTGGGAAGCCAGGCGTGGTGCCGCTGCGGCTCTTGGAGCATCAGCTGCTCAATGGGAGTTCAGGCAGGTGGGAGGGTTTCAGCAGCTCCATCTCGTCCTAGCGCTTGTCCTGACAAGTGAACTTCCTGTTGGGGCGAGCAGGCAGCACGAGTGCTTCTGAGGAGGCTCGCAAGATAGCACCGTTTGGCATGAAGATGCTGGTGGAGAAAGTGCAGGATTTTCTCTCACCTGTGTAGCGCAGGGGTTGAAATAATGAGTCTTTTGATCCCTCTCCAGCCCTTTTGGTCCTGAAATAAGGTTTTGACTATTGAGCATCTCGGGCTGGTTGTTGGGCTGGCTGCTCTGAACTGTTTCCTCATCTTCACTTACATGTGGTGCTCGGTGGCCCCACACACCTAATACACCTTCCTGTGTGGGTCCAAGCATCCCTCCCCATCGCAAGTAACCTTTTGCTTGGTCTCCTCTCTACGTGTCCCGACCCTTCTCCTTTCTGCGTGGCAGGTGGTTTGGAGACACCCACCTCCCCGTTTCTGCCTTACGGACCCTCTGTAGTCAGCCTGTGTTTCCGTACTTACGCAGGGATGGGAGCTCCCTGGTGCCGAGCTTCCCGCAGGTGGTGGGATGGCTCTGGGACCAGCGGGATGCGACTGCCAATGCCGGTTAGCGCCTGCCTCACAAGGCTAAATAAAGCAGTGGGGCCCTCCTGGCACTGGATTAACTTCTGCTGGGCCTCCTCAGGCTCTGAGAAGCCCCAGGCACAGAGGAACAGCCCAAGGAGGGACAGTGAGTGCTTGGTGCGGGGAGGGTTTCCTTGGGAAGGAGGGAAGCTTGCAATGGGAGATTCTTCCACATGGCAGGGGTTGTGTTGGGCTTCCAGGAGAGCCCAAAGAACTTCTTAAAAGCCCGTGGGGAGGTTGATGGGCACAGCCTGGCATTGGAAATGGAGGTTGTTGGCAGCAGAGTGACAATAAGCACCAAAAGTGGCTCCCTGACTGCTCCTGCACAGGAAGCAGGACCCAGCCTGTTCCTATGGGCACCCAGGATTGCAGGCTTTATAGCTGCCCCATAAGCTGTCTTCTAGTTCTCTTAGCTAGTAATATTTGGCTGCTGAATCGTGTTTTGATTGCTGGTGTTGCATCTGCCTGTTTTATCCACCACACTGACGGATGAGGTGCTCCAGTGAGGCAGTGAGGTGGGATTGGGGACTATTCCCGCAGGCCTTTGTGTTGCCCTAGGACTCCTGGTGGCCTCTTCAAGAGGTTTTGAAGGAATTTAAAAATATATATATGTATATACACAATTCATTATATATATATGTATATACACATATATCTGCCTTGCAGGGCAGAAGAGTATGTGCTGAAGAGCATGCAGGGGTGAGCACAAAATGCAGGTTGTATTTAGTACCTGATCCCTCCTTCTGCCTTGCTTGGGAGTGCTGGGGACTGTCCTGGCTTCTGGGTCATTGCGTGGGACCAGCAGAGACCAACCCTTCCATGTCATGGTTGTGTTGTCCTGCAGGAAACAGTGGCTGGCAGCGGAGAGCTGACAAGTATTGAGGAAAAAAAGACACTTGTAGAATAAAATCTTTTGGATATGACAATGGGAGCCCCCGTGGGAGGCTGGGACAAGCTGTGGTAGGCAGGGGCTGCAGCGCTTGCCCGTTCCCAAGCCCCACTCTGCTTCCAGGAGCTTGGGGGAAGAGCAGAGTGGCTGGATGTCTTTGCAGGAAAGAGGCCTTTTTTTGCAGGACTTTTATCCTGTTGATTTTAGGATGCTGAGATCACAGGTTTGGCTCCTAGGGCTAATCGTAAGCAGCAGTGTTTGTGGCTCCTGGTACGTTTTATGCCATTTTGCAGCAAATTACATTTTGAGGAGTTTACAGCTCTTCTCCTGTCACTGCGGGGACACCTGGCAAGGCTGTTGCAGCCGCAGCACCTACAGCACTTGGAGAGGGGCACCTGAATTCGGATGCGTAACCTGGAGCTCGGTGTGGGATTCACTGCCTTCCTCTAGCCTCCATTCCATGCACATTCCTGGGGCTGCTGGCCCCCAGAGGCCACCTCCTTGGGATACAATGGAGAGCGGGGCCAGGTGGCACGTGGGGCCCCATGTCCCTGGGCTGTGGGGTGATCGGCCCACTTGGCTTCCCCCTTCTAAGCGGGGACACTTCCCCCCCCACCCAAATCCCACACTTAATAAATCTGTTCCTGAAAAAAAAAAATCTATTCCTGTGTAGTTATAAACATGCCTCTGAGTCAGAGCTACCCAATCCCCTTCTGAAATTTGGCCAGAGCACTGTAGATGATTCCCGTTTGATCCCATTTTTTTTTTTTTCAATACAGCTCCAGCATTATTTAAGAGAAAAAAGGCCGGATGCCAAAAGCCACTTTCTAATGAGTGCAGCACCTCAGAGCTGCTGGGAACGTCATCGGTCACCGAAGCAGAGCCTGGCCCTGTGTCTGGGCGCTATGAGCAGCCTGTCCCCTCCCCAGGACAGCAATGGGCGGTCACGTTGCAGCCTTCGCCTTAAGCCTGCTGAGCTGTGAGGTGTATTTGGTGGTAGCACCGGGATTTAGGCAGCGCTTCCTCCCCTTTGGTCCCTGCTGAGGCCGTGCCCAGCCATGAGGGGGAGAGCTGGGGTGGCTGAGGGTCCCTAGGCCGCATGTGTCTGAGTGCGACGGGTGGCTTTGCGGCACTCGGAGGTGTCGTGAATGAGCCCTGAGGGGGCCGACTCCACGGGAGGGGCAGGGGTGGTTTAAGCGACCCCGTTCCCCCGGGGAAAGCGAGCTCCGGGCGCAGGCTGCGGGCGAGGAAGCGGGCGCGGGGCGCCGCTAGGTGGCAGGCCCGGCCCGGCCACGAGCCGCCCTCGTCTGCGGGGAGGCGGCGGGGCGGCCTCCTTCCCGCGCTCCGGCGGGGCGCGGGGCGGCCCTGGGGCCCGCGCTGTGGCCGGAGCAGCGACTGCCCCTTTCCAGTGTCACCCGCGGCACCGGCGGGGGTGTGGGCGCAGGGGAGAGCAGCGAGAGGATCTACGTCCCCCGCTGCACCCGCCACGCACGGGTGGGTGTGTAACACCCATCCACCCGAGCGCTTGCCTGTCCAAGGCCCTGGCTGCCCCGTGCTCGGAGCCTCGACTGCGGCCGAGTTTCTTTGCCGTGTTGAATCACGGAAGAGTCAGTCGCCCTGACTCACGGCTCCCAGCATACCGGGGTGAGGGTCAGGCCGCGTGCAGCGATAAACATCCTGGGAACGGAGCCTGCGGCTCCTGGCGCAGCCAGGGCTGCTTTGCTTTCAGTCTGCTCTCACGGAGCTGCTTTCTCATAAATACCCCGTCCTTTAGCACCGGCGGAGCAGGTGAGAGGCTCGCAGCCTGGGCAGCCTGTGCTGTGCTCGTGGTAGCCGATACAAAGCAGGGACACCAGCACTGGGAGCAGGGAAGAGCCCACCGCCCCAGAGCAGAGGCCTCCAGGTAGGACGGGCATCCTGGCTCGGAGCAGGGAGCAGAAACGCTGCGTCTTCCTTGCCTGGCCTTGTCACCACGCACAGAGAGGCCGGTGGCCAGAGCCCTGGCCACGATGTTGGCACGCATGAGGTGCTGGCTTTGGGTGAAATCACTTTGGAAGCGGCTGAAAGGCAAGTGCAGGGCTCAGGATTGACCCCGGGCACCCTGCCGGCCTCCGGGCCTAGAGAACGGAGGCTTCATGGGTGGGAAAGGTGGGGATGTGGTGCTGGTGGGAAAGAGGGGGCCCTGGAAATCACCAGCGATTCCCTTTGGGCAGCATCCTGCCTGGCCTGGAGCAATGGGGCTGTAACTAGCCGGTGTCTGCGCGTTTGATGCCCCCGGGGTGCCATAGCTGGTGGGTGTTATTGAACCTTTGTTTGCTGTGCGGGGTTTCAGAGGTGCTGGGAGAGTCCGCAGCTGCAGAGCTCTTGGTGCCAGGCTGGGCTTGGAGGGAACCCCCCGTGCCCTTCTTGGCCCCATGCTGCTCTTGGAAGCGCCCATGGGTTGTCCTGCTGCTGCTCTTGGAAGCCCGCATGGGTTGTCCTGCTGCAAGGAGCCTTCTCCTCCGCGCTCCTCGCGCTGCTGGGCTGAGGGCTTCTTGCGAGGTGCAGGAAGCCGGGAAGCTGCTGTGGCCCCACGGCACCTCAGGCACTTCCCAGGGCGCCCGACCAGAGCGTGCGGGGCCGGGTCGGCTCCCTGCCTCCCCACCTGCCTCCACCACTCACCTGGGCACCCGGGCTGCTGTGAGAGCCCCCAGGACTCTCGGGGGCTCCCGCGTCGCCTTTGTTCCCCGCAGACCCTCCCCTCGCCCCTGCCTCTGCTCGCAGCGCTCGGCGCTGGCGGGAGCGCGCGTGCCCGTGCGCGCCTGCTGCAGCCGCCTTCTCCAGAGCCGCGGCTCCGCGAGCTGCAGAGCCGCCGCCTCTAGTTGGGCTCCTGCGGGAAGCGGCCGCTGCCCCGCGCGCCGCCGGAGATGGAGGCGGCAGGAGCAAGTTGGCCGCTCGGCCCCAACTAGGCTGGACGGCGCCGCAACCTGTTCCCCTGGGCTCTGGCGGGTGCTGTCCCAAACGGCCCCTTCCTTGGGCAAGGGGCAGCTGGAAGCGCTCAGACGTCGGCCCTTTCGCTGCCGCGCTCGGGGGGGTTAAAGGAGGCTGGTTGGGGCGTGCGGGCAGAGCGCTGGGAAGGATGGGGCTGGTTTTAACCCCTTGCTGCACGGCAGAAGGCGCTTAGGGAGCGAGGCGGCGCGGCCTCTGCTCGCTCCCGGTGCCCGCCGTGCTGGAGCCGCCTCTCCCGCGCGCCCCGCCTGGCTCTCCCGGAGGGATGGAGCAGAGCCGGAGCTGAGCAGCCCCCAGAGCGGCGGCGGGGGCTGCGCCCGTAGCCCCCGTGCTGCTGCTTGGGCTCACCTGTGTGCTTTCTTCCAGGATGGCTCGCTTCGGGGAGGCCGTGGCCGGCAGGCTGGGCTCCGCGGATGGAGGCGCCGAGCAGAACCGGAGCCGGCCAGGAGCTCCCGCGCCCGCGGGAGGCACCCCGGGAGCCTTCAAGCAAACCAAAGCGCAGCGAGCCCGGACCATGGCTCTGTACAACCCCATCCCCGTCCGGCAGAACTGCTTCACTGTCAACAGATCGCTATTCCTCTTTGGGGAAGAGAACATAGTCAGAAAATACGCCAAGAAGCTCATCGACTGGCCATATCCTTTCTGCAGCCTTGCTCCCGGATTTGTCTCGCTGCCTTTCCCAGCCACGCGCGTGCGGCTCTAGCTGGCAGGTAAGCGCTGCCTTCCGCTCTGCTCCCAGCGCGCGAGAGGGGTGCCTGGGTGTACAGTCCCCTCCAAGGCTGCTCTGCACCTGCCCTGCTCCCTCGAGGCTCCTTCTGCTCCTTCCTTCCCTGCTCGGTGTGTGGCGGGGAGCTGAGCCCACCTGGGGCTCCCGAGCTTCTCCTGGAGCTTGGATTTGGAAGCCCCCCCGGTGGCCTGGGAAGGAGGGAGGTGCCGAGCCCGGCTTGGTCCCACACCCTCCCCGTGTCCGGGTGGCCTTTCTGCTCGTCCCACTGGAGTTTCCCTTGCTGTCCTCCCCTGATTGCAGAGCCCCCATCCTGGTGGATAGGGAGCCCCTGAGAGCCTGCTGGTGGCTGCACTTGCCTCTGGCACCCTTCCTGCCCTGTGATGGAGGGGACAACCTTGAAAATCCACCTTTCCTCTATACACGTAACTTAAGGAACTGCATTTTATCCTGCAGAGTTGCCAAGGGGGGAACCCCACCTAGGGCTGGAAGAGACCTCGGTCCCCCCACCCAATCCTCCCTCCTCCTCAACCCTCTCCCCAAACACCCGCTTCTTTCTCCGACCCTGCGGGCGCCTCGGGCAGCAGAACTCCCCCGGAGCTTGTCCCCTGCAAAGAGACACCTGCCTGGAAACTCGAGTGTGGCCGCGCGCTGCTTCCAGGGCCCTTTGCAATCCCTCTTCTGCAGTGGTGATTGCATGCGGCGCTCGCGGCTGCTTTCCCTCCCTGCAACTTGTTGGTTCACTTGTTGGCTCCTGCGCTGGGTGCAGGGGAGCTTGTCCCCTTGCAAAGCAGGAATGTGCTGGCCTGATGTGACGGACTCCTTGGAGAAACCCTCCAGCAATGTGCGGGACCACGGGCTGGATCATCTGGGGTGTGAAGCACCCCTGGGAAAGTCCCTGAGACGCTGCTGGAGCCCCCAGTAGCGCACTGGGGTGCAGCCTCTGCTAAGCAGGAGCCAGGGGAGTGCAGAGGACCCCCGGGGAGCCCCCCGTGTGCCTGGAGGGGGACGGACCAGTTTGGGGGGAAGCTGGTTTACCCAGCTGCTCCTGGCATGCTCCAACCTTCTCCTTGTGCGGCCGCGCGCGGCGACGTGGGCAGCGCGGTTCGCAGCACTGCAGGGCACTCGCAGGACCAGCGTGTCTCGTTTTCCAGAATATGCCAAATTATTCATGCGCTTTTTCAGTGCGGTGTGGGTGGGCCCTTGCTGTTCAGCTCTTATTTAAGACAATAACGGGCTGGGGTGTCGCTGGTGGCCCAGCTTTGCCAGTGTGGGCCGGGGTCCCGTGCTGGTGTCGTGCTGCATGATATATCATCTAAAACAGCCTCTGTCTCCTAGAAACTAGCGCCTCGCTGCCACGCTGCAAAAAACAAAATCCCCCAACGTTATTCGTTCCTGGAATTTGTAACGTATGAGAGAAAATCGGCTCGTTCTTCCCCAAAGAGATGGCATATTCCTGTGCAGATGTTATACCTGGGAAAGGGAGCAGGTCTCCGTGTCAGTTCCCATGTGCGGGCGTCTTCTCCTTCCAAGAAACTCGTGCGCCTTGGAGCTTTTGTGCAGCTCATCTGCACAGCAGCCTTTCACCTTGAGCTCTCAAGGCCTCACCTAGGGATGGGGCTTTTTGGTGGTGAGTCTGCACCAGGTGGGTGAAGTGTTGGAAGGAGGAACTGAAAGGCCTTTAGAAGCTGCTGGCTTCTGCTGGGCAAAGGCCGAGTCACCTATGCTGTGTGAAGCTGGGCAGGTGTTGTGGTGCAGGAGGCCTCAGCACAGCCTCATCAAGATGTGTGAAGCACCAGGTCCCTTGCTCTGTTGCTTCAAAGCCTGATGGGCTCCAAGTGGTGTAACTTTGGGTGTCACTAGAGCCATAGCAAGCCCTCCGAAGGAGAGAGCATGCTCGTTGCAGGCTGTCATTGGTAGAGTTGGCCAAGCAAGTTGTTCTCTTCCTTGTAATTGTAGCCTGGCACAAGCCGTGAGCCCCTCTTGGAAGGGCCAGGGAATTTTGCGAGCTGCCTGGAGCAGAGCCCGCAGTGCGAAGCCTCACATCGTTTCTGGGCGCTGCTGAGAGTGGTTTGTGGAGGTGAGTTTTGGATCTTGGCCACAGTCAACAGGAGGCAACGGCCTTGGAAGGGAAGTCTGCGGATGCTGGTGCTGCTGGTTGGAGCGGGCATGACACCAAGGGCAGCTAACAGAGCGGGGATGGAGCTAGGGAGGAGTGGAGGCTCTTCTTCATCCAGCTCCAGTTGACTAGGTAATAGGACTAAAAATAACTGGTGATTCAGGCCTGTGTATCTGCTGGGTAAATGTATAATTATAACGAGCAGCCTCTGCAGTTTGGCTTCCCGGTGTAAATAGGGATGATGCATGTAGGGGAAGGAGGAGAAATACGAGAAGATGGGATTGGGATTCATCTTCTCGTAGAGATCCAGTCTTTGCAGAAGACTCTCCTTCTCACTCCCTCTTCTGAACAAAGCCTTGTTCCCGCCTGCTCTTCCTGCCTGATCTCAGGGATCAGCGGCTCATGGCCAGGTCTCCAGCCCTGATTTCATTTGTTTGACTGCCTGGAAAGCTCCAATTCGGTTAGTGCATGGGATGGACTGCAACTCATCTAGATCTGCTTAGTTCTTCATCTGCTTAATCGTATTTGACCTGGATAAGATCCCTGTTCTACCCCAGGAGGGCCAGATGACCTTGTGCACTCCTGGCTCTGTCCCCAAGGACAGCCTTCTGCTGTAGGCACCCATGGGACACCCATAGCTGTTCCCTCATTTGGAAGGCTCTTCTCCTGGGCGAGGGTTTTGTCCCATCTCAGCCACTCCAAGAGCAGTTGCAAGCTGGCTCGGCTGAGAGTTGCAGTGCTGTCCGCAAAGCACCGCGCACGCGGGAGCATCCGCAGCGGCTCCTGCACCCGCTCAGGCCATGCAGGCAAGGCCGAAGGTCCCGCAAAGCCGAAGGGTGTTGCAGCCTCACGCCTGTTCCTCTGCGCTCGCCCTTGCCCCCTTGCTGGCTTTCAGTTGCTCTTAGCGCAGTGCGAGGGCGGCTGGGGGCGAGTGGGGACCCCAGCTCGAGTGGGGACTCAGGAGGGCTCAGAGGGTGGCCGGGCTGCGGGTGGCGGCCGCCCCGCGCTCCTCGCCAGGGCTGAGGTCGCGTTGCCACCAGCAGCCCCCAGCTCGGGCTGCTCTTTCTGCAGTGACCTCCAGCACCCGGAGTTTTTCTTAGCGGGGTAACCGGTTGTGGCTGCGTCACGGCAGCACCCGCCCCGGTCCCGAGGGAAGGGTGACATCCCGGGAGCCACGCGCGCCCGGGCCCCTCATCCACGCCGCGTGCCGGCTCTGTGGGTGCGAGAGGCTCGCCCCGTGGTGAGTCACCCCCTGTGCATGTCCGATGGCAGCCACTGCTGGGGTTGGTGGCAGCGATGTGGGGGACAGCCCCTCCATCGTTCCGTGCCCGGGCCAGCCTCTCCGTCCCCTTTGCTTCTGCCTGGGTTTCTGCAGGTCTCGTTGCCCATGGGAAGCGCGGCCCCGTGTCGCCGTGCCCTCCTTGTGCCGCCCAAGGAGGTCTCGCCTCACCCTTTCCCTCCTCGGAGGCTGCTTTCCGTGCCCTTCATTCATCAGGTTTTAAAATGTTTTTTCGTTTTCCTGGGGAGGGGCGAGTAGGTGTAATGGCAGGTCCATCTCTTTGACAGGCGGAGCGGGAGAGGCTGCCTGTCAGATGGTGAATTTAAACAGAGGCAGCTGTTGCCATGGCAACATCAAGTTGCATCCCGTCGCTGCGGCAACCAAAGTTAAAAAAACTGATGTTAAGGCAGGAGAATCACATGATGCAGTTCTTTTTTGTTTAAAAAAAAAATTAAAATAAGGGATGTGAGGAGAGAGGTCTGGTTTCCAGCGTTTAGCGCAGGGTTGGGTGTGGGGAAGCAGGCTGGTTTGGGGCGTGCCGAGGGACGTGGTCTTGGGCAGCGCACGGACAGGGCTGGGCTCGGCGAGCGCTGCAGGCAGGTGGGGTTGGGGCCTCAAAGATGGAGGCACCGGGTCATAGAGTCATTGTAGGACCTTCCAGAGAGAGCCCAGCCGTAAACCCATCCCCATCACACCTCCTAAACCGTGTCCCTAAGTGCCTCGTCTACACATTCCTTGAACACTGCCAGGAACGGTGACTCCAACGCTGCCCTGAGCAGCCTGTTCCAATGCTTGACCACTCTTTCTGTGTAGAATTTTTTCCTAATATCCAACCTGAACCTCCTCTGGTGCAACTTGAGACCATTTCCTCTTGTCTGTCCTCAGTTATTCTGCAGAAGGGATTGACCCTTGCCTCATTACAACCTCCTTTCAGAGAGTTATAGAGAGCAATAAGGTCTCCCGGGAGCCTCCTGTTCACACTAAACACCCCCAGCTCCTCCAGCTGCTCCTCATAAGGTCTGTGCTCCAGCCCCTTCTCCAGCTTTGTTGCCCTTCCTTGGACAACAAAACGTGGGAGCTGAGCTTCCCTCATGATCCGGGCAGCAGGGAACATCTCTTAGCGCAGCATCTCCCAGAGGAAAAGCAAGAAGCCAGGGCAAATGAAGACGTAAGGAGGCGTTGAGGCTTCAACCTGCCTGAGGCTGGTTTGGAGGACTGGGGGCGACGTGGGATCGGGAACCTTCCCCTCCTCAAGTGCTCGGAAGGAAACAAGGATCCTGCAGGTGCCTGGGATTAGCCGAGTTGCTAAGGAAACAAGTCAACTGTTCAGGGGAGAGAGCATTGGATAAAGGAGATAAATCAATAAGAAAACCTATTTTTATCGGCTCCCTAATGATCCTACACGAGAACCTAGACGGAGGAGGAGGAGAAGGCTGGAGAGAGACGGGCTTTCATTACCGGCCTTGGAGGGAGGCAAGTGCCACTCGGCTTTTTGGGTGGCTGGAGGTTCATGTAATTAGACACCTAATGAGAGAGGAAACGAAGTCATGGGGCATCTTCTGGTGGTCTCGAGAGAGGGCGAGTGTGCAGCTTCCCAGCGATAAGATTTCCCCCTGCATTTAGCTATTTTTGCCCAACTCTCCTCCCCCTTGAAGAGGGGTTTTCTTTGCACTTGACCTGTCAAAATCAGGACCTGGGAGAGCTGGAGTTATAGAGAAAACGGGTGCTTGTTTTCGTGGTGCTGCTGGCTTGGAGCTCTCGTGTTGCTTCAGACACAGAGTGATCCCGGCCCAGGTCCTTGGGAACCTTAGTGGCGTACGGAAGGTCACTTTTGACCGGGGTGACTTTATGGGTGAGCTGTTTGAGACAGGAAGCAAGGCTGGGGATGAGTCAGTTCTGAGACCCCTCCAGCCCGCTACCAGGCAGGACTGTCCCCTTAATGCCATGCACTTCCCGTCCGGGCACGTGGGCGACGGAGCTCGCGGCAGAGCTCGCTGCTCCGCCGGGCGCTTCAGCCCTCCTCCGAGGGGCCGTTTGCTGCCCTCATCGTCGCGCTGGAGCGCGCGGCCGTGGCCACGGGTGTTGTGGGCAGATCCGCCCGCGCCGGGCCCAGCCTCGGGTTTAGCCCCTGCGACCGACCGGTGCCCAGACCCGAATCCACAGCAGGGAGCTCTGCGGTGCCCCTCGCACTGCAGAGCCTCTTCCTTTCTGTTTGGTTCTAATTTATCAACCATTAATTTCCCTGAGTGGCCTTTTAAAGGCCTTGGCTCAGTCGTGCCTGGCTCTTCTCCCTACCGGGCTAAATAAATCCACGCTCCGTAGGCTTTGCTTTGGCATCACCTCCTGGCCTGCTCTCTGGAGACCTGCTCCTCTGCTCCTTTCTTGCCCTGATGGGCTCAGGGCCATGGGTCTTGATGCCTCTTGCTTTGGTCTGCAGCTTGGATGGCCGATGCCCAAAGGTGAAGTAGTAAGGGACAAAATCATCCCTTTTCCCAAGGGCAATGCCCCAGGCTTCAGCATTCAACGCCTCCAGCTTGAGCAGAGACCAGTTTGGAATGGTGAAAGCTTGGAGCACCCGGAGTTTCCTTACAGCTGAATCCATCTCTGGTGGGATCCCGTTGCCTCGCGAGGAGAATGAAGCTTGGGAAGGCTCCATTTCCCTCCCGTGGCTGTTGCTCATGCCAGTGGTGACAGTAAAGTATTAGTGATGTTCTGCCAGGGAAGGTGCTGCCTGTTGGTCACTCTCACCGTGTCTTTACAGAGGGTAATGGGATTTTCAGTGCAGAGGCTTGGTAGAGCAAGATGGGAACTCGGTGAGATGAATCTTGGAGTGCTTCGTTTTTGCTGCTCGGCACAGGCCATGTGAGAGCAGGGAGCTCTGCTCATATGCCTCTGTGTCTGCAAGGCATTGAAAGGCCCAAGGGAGCTGCCATTGGGGCCCTTTCCCCTTCCCTCTGTTCCTAGGGTGCTAATATCTGTTGTCCCTTGTCCTGGTGTTGCTCTGCTCTGGGAGAGGGTCTGTAGCGCTTGGGATGCCCCTAAGGGTCCTGTTGCTGCCAAGCCCTGTTGCTGTTAGGCTGCCTTAGGCCTAGCCTGGTCAGAGCTCAGGCAGGCTGTAGTGATGAAGGCCCTGGGCGTTTTGGTGCCCTCGGTTCTCTCTCGTCCCCAAGGGGCTCGAGGTTCTGCTCGCTGCCCCTGCGCGTGGCCAGTGGACGGGTGAGGCGAGGGGAAGGGGCACGCGGCAGAGCGGGATGTGCTCCACCTCCTGGCCCTTCCTTAACTCCCCCTCCACTCCCTTCGAGTACATGATCCTGGCGACCATCATCGCCAACTGCATCGTGCTGGCGCTCGAGCAACACCTTCCCGAGGACGACAAGACCCCCATGTCCCGGAGATTAGTAAGTACCCTTCTGTTTTCTCCCCTCTGCGTGTCCTGGTGCCAGGGAGCCCGGGGGTGAGCGCAGGATGAGCTGAGGGGGAGACTCCTTCCGAACGGGCTCATTTCTGTCAATCCCATGTAGGCTGGGGAAGGCTTTGTGGGGTTTTGCCACACAAGGTCAGGTGTGATTTCTCTGGCCCTCTTTCCCCCTGCTCACCATGTTGCTGTCTCCCTTTCGGCAGGAGAAGACCGAGCCGTACTTCATCGGGATCTTTTGCTTCGAGGCTGGGATTAAGATTGTCGCTCTTGGATTTGTTTTCCACAAGGGCTCGTACCTGCGCAACGGCTGGAACGTCATGGACTTCATCGTGGTCCTCAGTGGGTGAGTCTGGTGGCTCAGGGCACTGGGGAGCTGGACAGTTAGGCATGAGGCTGCTCCCTGTGGGAATGTGAGCTCTAGGAACTGGAGCAAGGCCCCATTTGGTGATTTTTGGGGATGTTTCTACTTCACAGTGAGGGGAGGGAGATGGTTCCCCTCCCTCGAGGGGCTGGCTTTGCTCCTGGTCGCAGCAGAGCAGGCAGCCGATGGTGGGGCACCTTTCCCCATCAGGCAAAGAGGGTTGGTCTAAAGACATCATGTCCAGCCTTCCTGATTTGCGGGCTGGTGTCCCTCACCTGTTGGAGACGGGAGAGATAGGTGAGGGAGACGAGAGATCTTGGCCTGGTGAGTAAGTTGATTTGAGGAAGATATTGGCCGAGTGGCACAGGGAGAGGGGGAAAGGTGCCTGCTGCCCCCGCCAGCTGCTTTGCTAGCCCTGTGCTAGGTGCTGGGGAATGAGGTCTTGGTGGAGACGTGGTCCCAGGTGATGCTCGCTCAGCAGCCCCGCACGTAACAGGGATACCTGAGGTGGCAGCACGCGAAGTTTCGCAGGTGCCTCATGCGTCTCCTGTCAGGGATGATGTGACCCAGATTTGAGCCCTGTCTAGGGTGTGATGAGGTGACATAGCAACAAACGAACGGGTGGATTTGCTGGGCTTGTGCTTGAAGGAATTGGCTGGAGCAGAAACAGCTCGGGATGACCCACCACGGGCTCTAGTATGGATGGGGGTGTTTGTAGCCACCAGGAGCTGTGGGGAGGCAATGCCTCAATTATAGCCGTTGGTTTTGTCTGCTGGTGGAAATGCCGTGTTGAGGGCAGCTGATTCGAGGCGTGCAAACAGACGGTGCTTGTCAGCCGTGCAGCTCTGAGCACTTCATAAGCTTTGCTGAACACAGACAAGCCAAGTGTGGGGCAGATGGGGAAACTGAGGCGCGCAAGGAAGGAGACTGCTGTTCTGCTGAGCAGGAATCACAGCTTGCTACACGGTCCTGTGCCCTGGTCTGAATCCTTCCCCTGCGTGTTGTCACTGTGTGGGAGGTGGTGCCCGTCACGTGCTGCGCAGAGCAAGGTTGGTGCTGAGCCTGGATGTGGTGACCGTTTCTTCTCAGTGGTGGCGAGGCACAGATTGGGCTTCTGCTCGGGAGAATTTGGGAATGTGCCTTGCTCTGCTGCGGGCTTCCTGGCCGCGCTGTGGAGCGGCACCTCCTCTGCCCACGCACGTGGGCGGAATGGTAGTGGAGGCCCTGCCTTCACCTGGGGAGCTGCTGGCTCCTCTGCATCCGCTGGCTCCTCTGCTGGCCATTGCCAGGCTGGAGGATTAGCCCTGATGCAGCGTCCAGGGTGTGGAGAAATGCTGCCTGCCAGGTCTGGGCACGGGCATCCCCTGGGGCCGGAGCTGGTGGGATGAACCGCGCTGGAGGGGGACGCTCTCTGCAGAGCCCTCCCGGCCCCAACGGAGTCGGAGCTGCTGCTGAGTCAGCGCTCGGCAATTCCTCACCGGCGAGCGCTCCGACAGCTCCTCCCGGTGCGGCTCCGCTCCGGGCCCGCTGCCAGGGTAGCAATTGTCCGTGAAGGGCTGTGAGCGCCGCGAGCCGGCGGCGTGGGGCACCCCCGTCCCGGCCGTGGCCACATCCCTGGCTGTGCGGGGGTCAGCTCCGCTGCTGTCTCCTTCCTCCCTTCTGGCTTCGGCAGGACTGGGGCCTTTCCAAGAGGCGCCGGGCTCGTCGCCGGCTCCCACGCGGCGTTCCCGGGAGCGGGGCAGGCCAGCGCGAGGGGCTCCGTGCTCTGGCATGATCCTGTCGTGTGATGGATGGATGGAGGAGGCAGCCCGGGTGTTTCTGTGGGTCCTGGGCAGGGCAACTTGGGGCTCAGCTGGAGCAGCTCACGGCTCCTTGTGCTGCCCGGCCCCGTGTCCAACTCATTTTTGCTGTGTAGAAGCTTGGGGAAGAGCTCTGCAGCCTAATGGGTGCATCTCCCTCCTAGGAAACTCCGGCGCGTGTCCGAGCCTCTAGCGATGGGCCGATTTGTTCGGTGAGAGTCACTGGCTGCTGAATTGCTCGCAGACAGCCCGTGGACAGCATTTGCACTTTGCAGCTTGCGCCGGGCGCCGCATAAGCCGGGCGTCGACGGCTGCGCACGCGCGGGCGCCCCGTGCGCGGACCGGGCTCGCGGCTCCGTTTGCAGGCGAGAACTTTGCTCTTGATTAATGTCTGGGCAGAAGGCTTTAAGCCTGGGAGAATTAATGGTGTTTGGGATCTCCCGAGGGCTTAGGTGGCTGCAAGACGCTGGCTGTGGTCGTGAGCGGCGGGGAGCTGCTCCGAGCCGGTGGAGACGGTCGCCGTGCTCGCCAGCCCCGAGCTGGTGTCTCCGTGAGCAGCAGCGCTTCCCGGACACGGTCTCCTCGGCATAAATCCCCGTGAGGAGGGGGTGCCAGTGTGAGCCTTTGCCTGGGATCCTGTGTGGGAAGGGATGACAACGACTTTGATTCAATCGGGGTTTGCTTATGTCGATAAACTCGGATTTTTACCTTGGTGGAAAGCGACGCCCACCTCAAACTCCCTCATGTTAAAGCTTCGGTTTGGCTGTACTAGCAGTTACACAGGTAAACCAGCTCTGTTTATAGCCCGTGGTTTCCAAATTGTTGTCGCTGCCTGAGAAAACAGCCTCTTCTCCCCAGCTAAAAATACTTTTCTTGGAAAATGTGAGTAAGATCCCTCGTTTTGAGGAAGAACGGTGATGGAGGAAAAGCCTCACAGAGGTGAAACTCCTGTGGAAATATCCAGGTGGGAGGGTGCTGCATGCTCTCGAATGCCTGCGTATGACAGCGCTGTGCTGGCTTTTTGCTGGGAATTACAGCAACAGTAAGGAATGGGAGAGATGGGCAGGGGGCTTTTGAAATCCCGCCCGGTGCCTGAGGTCGGGCTTTGTGTGCGCGTCCACCAGGTCCCTGGAGCAGCCTCTTCCTCCAGAGCTGACACTTGCATTTTCCAACATGGAAGCGAGCAGCGTTTTCCAAGCAGCTGGGGATGGTTCCAAGCTGCAAAGTGCTGAGCTGGCCTGGCCCTACCTCTTCCTTCCAGGGAAATGTGCAGCTCGGCGAGCACCTAAGCAAAGCACAGTCCTTAAAATCCATCTGGATTTAATGGAGCCCATCTCTGACATGATGCCTCCCACCTTCCCCTTGCCAATCCCAGCTCTTTCCTTCCAGGACAACCAGTCAAGTGCTAGGCCGTCCGTAGGGATGGATAATTGCTTCCCGAGCCCGGTGGGTGATTGCTGTGTGGCGTCCCCGGTGGCGGCACCGTGGCCGGAGGAGCTCGCGTGTGGGCACCGCAATTCACCTGTGTCACGGCCCCAAAACCTAGAAAACGCAAGGAAAAATAAGGAAGAAATAGAGAGAGATGGTGATGAGAGCTTTGAGGTTGCTCTGAAGTGTGCCGAGGGCAGGACGCAGAGCTGCCTCGTGTCCCTGGCCTCCGGCATCCCCCGGAGCAGGAATGTCCTGTGGACGGGGGGTCCCCCCCTTGGACCACAGGCCCCCGGCTGCCTCTTCCCTCCTGTACCAAGAGACTCCGTGAGCACTGGAGCTGGTGAAACAGAGACATCCGAGGCCGGCCACACTCCTGTGCTTGACCAGGCAAATACTGCCTGTTGCGAAGGCGTTTGCAGGGAGCAGGAGCCGTTTGCTGGCTGGGACGCGGGAAGGAAGGGGCATGCTCACCAGGTAACTTCCCTTGGGAGTTGTTTGACCGCTCCATTAATTATGAGTTTGTCGCCCTCCCGGAGTCAGGTGCAGTGAAGTCAGTGCAGGCCTTGAGGGGCCTTTCCACTTAATTATAAATATTAACACGCTTGTCGTGCAGCCGGCGCCCTCCTTGCCCCAGATCTGAGCCGAGCTGCGGCCGTCCGGGCCCCTCTCTGCGCTGCCTCTGGCTCGCTGGGATGTGCATCCCAAAAAGCAAAGGGCCGAGGACCCCCAGGGACTGTCCAAATGGGACAGGGAGGGAGGTCGCTTAGTTTATTATGGGCACATCGCTCCCTAAGTCTCTCAAGGAGAGAGAAATCTAGAGGTGCAGATCCTGAGCGGAAGAGGAGCCCTTCCCTGGGATCTAGTCCCGAAAGTGGGTGCCATGGGAGCTCAGCGCTTACTCGAGACGCTGGAAATAAATAAAATAAAATAACCATCCCGGTTGCAAACACAGAGCATCGGTCCTTTTCCAAAGCATGTTTTTTACTGCCCATGCTTGCTCACTACTCAATTGTATGTTGCAGGATTGGGATATATTTCCCGTGCTGCCTCCCCTCTCGTTTGCATCCTTCCAATGGACCCTCTCTGCTCTCCTCCACCTGAGGTGTCTTCTGCCTTTCCCCTCAAGAAGTAGAACTAGCCACTTTGCCGGTGTGACCTATAAAAACGCCTTCACTCTTTTCTTTTTTCTTTCTTTTTCCTCCGGTACATATGATGAAAAGCATGAGATCATTGGGATTTTTATAGCCCGATCCGCCAGCTTTTTTAGATAACTTGGATAGTGAGATGTAATTTTAGTTTGGGTCCTTGCCTAAAAATAGAGAATAATTATTAGCCCATCAGACATGGATTTTGGAAGTGTTTGATAGGATTTAAATGGCTCTGTGGGTGCAGGGGTTGCTGTCCGGTGTCAGGCCCCGCATCCCAACTCTAAATGGTGCTTCACAAGGAGGAATAGGAAACCTTAATGTGTAGGAATAGCAGGAAGAGGAGATGCTCCTGATGAGCCACAGCCTCCTGTCCCGACAGGGTTAACGGCGGAGTTTACGTTTTAAATGCACTTTAGTCCTGATGCTCTTTTCCCGTCGCCTCAAACTGCTTATCGCCTTTCTGATTCTAATGCCCGTTTCCAATTCCACTTTGGTTTATTTGTTATAGTTGACTAAGCCTTTCAAAATGCCTCTCCCCCCCCGCCACGGCAAACATTTAATTTTAAGGGTAGAAAGCAGGGCTAGGAAGCGCTCCAGGGAGGCTCTTTCCCGTGTGACTTTGGAACCAGGTCTTTCCCTGAGCAATTTGACTTGCAGGAAGCGAAGAGCGCAGCGTTAAACAAATGAGGTCCTGCCCGGGAGAGCAGAACTGGGTCGCCCTGCGCAATATGGGTCACGCCGCACGGAGAAGTCGCAGTTATGGGGCTCACACGCAGCGAAGCGCTGAGGTCCGGGGCGCGGGGGACGCTTTGGGCGCTCAACTCGCTGCTGGGAGTGTCACGATGGACGTGATCTTGCCCACGCTCATCCGAGGGCCGCTCGGATGAGCGTGGCTCCCGCCGAAGGAAGGGTGGAGGAGCGCGTGCCCCACGCAAGCAGCCTGCCATGGGGACACGGGGCAGCACCAGCCCTTCCCGGCAGGTTTCCTTTGCCACGTCCCGTCTTTTCGTCCCGCGCCGGCTCCTTTCCCCCAGTGCCCTTTCCCAAGCAGCGCTGTCAGCCGGGGGAGGCAGAACGAGGGGGATCGCGAGCACGAGTTGCGAGAAGCCGCTTTGCTGACGGGAGAGGGTTTCTGCTGCCGGGGTATCCTAGGAAACCGGCCTCGTGCTTCTGGAGGGGCACGTTGGGACCTGCTGCACCTCCGGGAGAGGAGAGAAATGAGCGCTAATTGCGCCGCTCGCCTGAGAGCTGCTCTGGCCTGTAATTAGGTGAATTAGTGGAACAATGACCCAATTTCCTTCGGGCTTTGGCTTGCTGCAGACAGCCCTAAGGTTGCCGCTGCTTCCCCCTGTCCTGCTCTCCATCTCCTCTTCCTCCTGCTGCTCCCTGCAGCCACCGGCTCTGCCAAGGTGCAGGCGAGCTGAGCCATGGAGGAGGAGGAGCAGGATCCCACTCCCCCATCCGTGCTGCACCGCTCTGCCCGGCGTCGGAGCAACATCCAGCATCCCCTCGGACACCCTCTGGTACCTCCCCTGCAGCATCCGAAGGCTGCACTGGCTCCTCTCTTCCCCCAATTTGTTTTCCAGTGGTTGGCTTAAAAATCTCTGTGTTTTAAGAGAAAACCTCTGGAGTCCTCCTTTTGCCTGCTGGCTGTCTTCCAAGGTCATCAAGCTTTCATTACTATATGTTTTTTAATGTGTATGAGGCTCGCGGCTTATTCCCCGAGCTCCCCGATGAGGGGCTCCAAGGAAACTCCGGGTGGTGCAGCTCCCAAGTTGTGGAGCGGGGCCCCGCGTTGCCCTCCGGTGACTCTGCTCTCTCCGTGTCCGCCTGCAGCATCCTCGCCACTGCCGGGACGCACTTCAACACGCACGTGGACCTGCGGACCCTGCGCGCTGTGCGCGTGCTCCGGCCTCTGAAGCTCGTCTCGGGCATTCCCAGTAAGTTGGATGCTCCTCATCCTCCTGCCGGGCGGTTCCTGTCTCCTTCCGACCTCCTTCAGGTTTAGCTTAGTCCTTGTGCCACCTTGGGCATGGAATGAGAATCATGGCAGCGAGGGAGAATAAACCTCCCCGACTGCAAACGGATCGGGGCAGATCTTGCACGGGATCCTCCGAGCAGTCCCTTGGGCAAATAAAGGCGAGAGGTTTCCGCACGGTGTGGGAACGCGTGGTGTCCCCGGGTGGCACTGCCGGCCAGCCCGAGGCTCAGCACGCCCCGCTCGCGCGACGGGGAGCTGCCGAGCGGCAGGACCCGCGCGCTGGTTCCGCTCCCCGGCCAGAAGGCAGTGGGTGGATCCTTTAAGGACTGAGGTTTATTCAGGGGAGATCTAGTTTTGTGCAAGTTTTCATCCGCAGGAATGGGGATAAATAAAGAAAGTAGGCTGCTGGTATCTCTGATCCTCCCTTCCTTCCCACCTTGGGCATTGAGCTTGCAGTACGATGGATCCCTAACTTGGGGACAGAAAGGAGAAGAGAAAGGAACATGGGTTGTCCTGGGCACTGAGTCCAGCCACTGGTGGCTGGTGTGTAAAAAATGCTCTGCTGGATGCTCAGAGCTTTCTCACAGTCTTCTTGGAGCCCTGTACCAAGCCGCAGCCCTGCAGAGAGGGCCGTAATTGTAAGTGGGAGAGATCAAGGGCAGCACCAGCTTTATTAGGTTCTGGAAATGCTGTGGGATTTATTCCAGAAGACTCCGAAGCAGCCCTGGGAAGCTGGCTGTGCTCTACTGCAGAGGCAGGCGAGCAAATCTTCTGTGGAAGCTGCCCAGCACTTGGGCGCCGTGAGGAGTTTAGCCCAGGGCCCCGGAGAGGGGATCCTGGTGCCTTGGTGCTCCTGGCAACAGCAGCTCCTCACTAGCTCTTCCCGGCGGGCAGGCCCAGAAACAGCCCCAGCAAAAGCTGCTCCAGGAGCAGAGAAATCCGACGGGGAAGGTGTCCCTTCCTTTGCTAGCAAGAGATGTCTCAGCCTGACCCCTTCCACCAGTTGCTACTCGGGGGATGCTTGTCAGGCCCAGTTGTGTGCGAATCCCACTGGAAAGTGCTCTGTGGTGGAAGAACTGGTCAGAATTAAGGTTCCTTGGAAGAGAGCTCCCGCCCTGAGGAGCAGGTTGCTGGGCACGTGCAGGTCTCCTGGCTTACAGCTGCTGGGGGATGCCGGCAGGGTTGGGGCTCTCGCTCCATCCCTCGCAGGGCTCCCGCTGACAGCGGGTCCCGGAGGAGGCCAGGAGCAGGCGGGGGACGTGGAGCGCGGCAGCACCGCGGCAATCCCGTGGGAAGCAGGGGGCCGCCAGGCTGGGTTCCGTGCAGTGCTCTGCGGATGACGGCTCCTGCCTCCGTGAGCTTTTACTCACACGAGGCAAAGCACAGAGGGAAGGCAGGGTACAGGAGGGAGGACTTCATTAGAGCCTCAGTGAGTCAGAGGCGCATCCAGAAATCATCCCTCCCCAGAGCCCTGCTCTGCACCCAGGCCACTCTGCTTCCCTCGGGACCGCATTTTCCTCCGTGGTCCTCAGCTGTACAGAGACATCCTCCAGTGCTGGGCCTGTCACCTCTCCTCCTCCTCCAGGGCCACTGTCTTTCTAGCCACGTGTGGGATGGACGTGTCCCAAGCAGGGGAGGGGGCTGTAGCACCTTGCTGAGCTCTGCGGTCTCCTCTCCCTTGCAGGTCTGCAGATCGTGTTGAAATCCATCATGAAGGCCATGGTGCCTCTTCTGCAGATCGGCTTGTTGCTGTTTTTCGCCATCCTGATGTTTGCCATCATCGGCCTGGAGTTTTACAGTGGGAAGCTGCACCGGGCCTGCTACACAAACAATTCAGGTGAGGACATGGCCCCACTCATGCTCCATGCCCTGGCACTTCCAGTGCTAGTTTAACCCCCAGCTTTTTGTTCTGAATTTAGCAATCTCTTCTTGTCCTCTCCGGAGCAGTCAGGTCTAGTCCTCATGGAGGCCTCCCACTGTGTCCCAAGCCCACTGCATTTGGCCATCCCCTGCTTCTCCCTTAGCCCTGTGTCCTTTGGCTCTCTGCTCACAGGTGAACTAGAGGAGCTGGACCCCCCACATCCGTGCGGGGTGCAGGGTTGCCCCCCAGGTTACGAGTGCCGCGAGTGGATCGGTCCCAACGATGGGATCACGCAGTTCGACAACATCCTCTTTGCTGTGTTGACCGTCTTCCAGTGCATCACCATGGAAGGGTGGACCACAGTCCTGTACAACGTGAGTAACGCGGCCCCGGGTCTCGCTGGGCAGCCGTGCGGGAGGGTGACGAACCAGAACCACCATTTCCAGACCCTGAAAACCTTTGGAATGCTGAGTTTCCATAGTGGTGGAGATGGGGCCAGGCCTTCCCGCTGGGGCAGGAGATGCCAGGGGGACACAGAGGCATCTCGTACGCATCTCTGGATCCCCTGGGCAAAGGGCTTTGGCCCATCTCTGGGCTGAGTTTGCAACCTGTTGCACAGAGTGAAACCTTGTGAGTGGGTCTGCAACAAGCCTCCTGCTCCAGCAGCGTGGACAGGGTTTGCTCCAGAGGGAGCCGCCCCGCGACGTTTCCGACGCTGGAACTGGGGCAGAGGCTGTCACAGAGCGCAGCCTCTTCACGGGTGGTCGGATGTATTCCTTGCCTTTGGTTTATGGGCTAGGAACAACCACTCCAGTCCCGTTCCCAGCCTAATTCCGGCGTCGATTGCAGCGTCACTGCGCCAGGAATGTTTTTCTACCCTGGTTCTCGTAATGCCCGAGACTTGCAGGGTGGCACCGCTCTGCGGGAGGCAGACTGGGTGGGTGATGGGGAAACACTCTTGGATATTTACTCGGCCTGTTGGGTGCAGCAAGGCTGATTTTAGCTCCGCTGACGTTGTCCCCCTCGGTGGGACAAGCAGCCCGGCCACACGTAGTGCTGCAGGGAGCGCTCTGAGCTCCCGTGGTGGCTGTCACGCGGGCAGCCCTGCGCAGGGCTCATCGCCACCTCCTCTCCTTGCGGCTCCGTGCTGGAGCTGGGAGCTGAAGCCTTTCCCACCTGGTATCCCAGTGATTTTCCCAGCAATTATCGCAGTGCTGGCCAGATGCTGCCAGGATGTCCCCAGTGGCTGGGACCATAAGGTTCCTCCCTTTCCCGTTCCTCTCTCCTCTCTCCTGCTTTTCCCTGTGTGGTCCCTTAGGCTCTTCCCTTAGGCTGTCTGGAGGTGCTTCCTTGGCCTTCCTTGGACATGGATGCGCTCCTGATGCCTCCTCCTGATGCTGGCTCCTCCAGGAGCCCCTAGGTCTGCAGGTGACTTGATGCTTCTCCCTTCCCTCTCCATTGGACACTGCATGGGCTGCCTGCTGCCCTTGGCTGCTTTTGCAGGCTCTGGGCCATTAGCAGCCTGGATGTCCTCAGGGAGCAGCTGAAGACGGAGTCAAAATGTGTTTGCGACTCCTTTGAGGAAAAGATGTGGAAGGAGAGAGTGGTAACGTGCTGGGAGCTGGGGGTGGCCAGAGCCTGCTGGGCGAAGGAGATGGTCCGTGGTGGTGGACACAGCGCTGTGCACAGGGATCCCCTTGGGTCTTCCTGCTCCCCTTGGCTGCTGTGGAGCTCTGGGGGCCGGCAGGCTGCCCGGCCAAGGGTGCTCGGCTCCGTGGTGTCCCAGCGCGTGCCAAGGACGAGGGGCTGCAGTGTGGGATAGAGGCTCCGCTCTGCAGCGAGACCCCTCACAGAGCGGCGGCGAAAGCCCCAGCAAAGTTGTTTGCTTGTCGGGGTGTTTGGGCTCTGTTTTCCCCTGTTTGCTAGGTGTAGAAAGGCAGCTCTTGGGGCCTGGGGAGAGCACCGTGAGACGAGTGTCATCCCCATGTGGTGTTTTCCACGTGGTGGGTCACTCCGTGGATGTGCTTGGCCCTCCGGTTGCTTTCCCTGGTCTTCCCGCGTGAAATGCTGTCGTGCCATGCAGAAGTATCAGTATAATGGAAAATAACACGAAAATGAAGTCCTCAACGTGAGGCATGTCGTATCTTCTCCAGCTCCCATCCGTGAGTGCCTGAGAGGCTTTAATTCCTTCCAGAGGGAATTGGAGGTTCATGGTGCCTCGGGCTGCCTCTGCCTGCTGCAGTTTTTCCCCCCGCTCCTGTTCGAGCAGATACCTCTTCCTGGGGCTGGATTTATATTAAGGGCGATTTGTGCAGGGCCCGCAGGGAGGAAGGAGGCTGGTGGAGCCGGCGGCTGCCCTACTTGTCCGGCCTCCAGCTCCTGCTTCCTTCGCTAACCCCAGCCGGCGCATGGAGGGCTGGAAGGGGCAATAAGGGGGTCCCTGCCCAGCCTCTCAGCCCGGAGCATTGGGAAGTGCCGCGTGGGGACGAGCTGCCCCGTGCCTTACAAGAGATCAGAGGGCCACCCGGCTCGGGCTGTAGAGGCAGGTATGTGCCTCTACACATTATGCCTCTGTATGTGCGTGGCGTAACCAGGAGCTTGCAGCCAGGCCGCGCGGGGAGCCACGGGCCAGGGCTTCACTGCCGAGGTGCCTTGAGGGCCGCGAGCCCCTGGCACGGGCAGAGCTGGGAGTTTTCTGTGTATGCTCGAGGCTGCCCCTTGCTTGCTGGCTCAAGTCCGCAGGGTTTTGCGGGCACCGCGTGAGATGCTCAATGAGGTCTCCCTCCTAGAAGCACCCACAGCGAGTGACATCTCCCCGCGCCGCCTTCCTCAGCAGGGCTGAGCATCCCACGGGGCTCCAGGTGGGTTTCCTCCGGAGAGAAGGTGCTGCTGCCCCTGGTTTAGCTCCCTCCTAGTCCCTGATTTTGGGAGCGGGGATGCTTTGGGCCCTGCTCTTCACTCCCTCGTGCCCCTTCCTTGGAGCTGGTTTTCAGGCAGCACCGTTGTGGCTGCTCTGCCCCCGTCCCTCCTGCTTTCCCATCCTCCGTGCCCTGGGACGCTGCCAGGCTCTCGCGCTGGAACACTTGCCCGGGGAAAAGAAGTCCCTTCTTGTGTGTTTTAAATTAAAACAAAACAACAAAAAAAATCCTGTCAGGGAGGCATGAAAATTTAATCAGCACCCAGTGCTCTTAGCAGCTTGCTAGCGAGCGCAGATCTTATTACGGCTGCAGCTATTTCTGTTGGATGCCGGCCGCTCCGGCAGCGGGAGGTCCGGGCAGAGGCCTCCCCTGCACCCCAGGAGGAGCCCGAGGAGGGCCAGGGCTGGCCGTGGGTTTCAAGCACCTTCACTTTGCGAGAGCGTTGGAAAGATCTGGGCTTAAAGCCTTTAGCAGAGAGCCCCTTCTCCCACCTCTGACGCTCTCCCCAGAGCCATGGGCAGGGGCAGAGGGGCCGAGAGGGCCCCGAAATGAAAACTGGTGCCCATTCCAAGCAGTTTTGAAACAATTTTCATAAGGCTTTTAGCAACATGCTTTTTTTTCCGAGTCAAAAGTTGGAAATGTTTCATTTGGAAAATAGAGAAATGCAATCCAACATTTTCTGTTTCTCTTCCTCCTGCTTCCCTCCTCTCACCTGTGTGTGTGTACTCGTGCGCTTGGGTCCGGCCTGCGTTTCAAACATCCCGTTTTGGGAGATTCCCAGCTTCCCACTGCCCGTTCATGCAGGCAGCCAGCCCCCTGCCCGGCAGGATCGGGCCCTCCTCCTGCAAAGGCAACGCACCCACTTCCTCATTAACCTAATCTAGGGAAGAAAAGCATTGTCATTCACATCTTGTAGAGCGCCGGGGTCGCTGACGGATGCCAGGCCCCGCTGGCAGGAGCGAGGCCCGGCCCCGCATGCAGGAGATGCAATTACTGCTATTACGGGGCCGAAGCAGGTCTGTGTCTGTGCTGCCCAGAGCAGCCACGGGCTGCAGGGTCTTGAGGGGCCACCAAGGCCCTGGAACGTGCTGGAAGGTGGCTTTTTTTTTGCTGGTATATTGAGATGTTGCTGCTGTCGCACGTGCGCGTTTCCCAGATGGATGCAGGGAGCAGCGGTCGGAGGCAGCGCTGCCCGCGGAGCCTGGGGGCACCGGCGGGTCCTGCATCCGCTGTTGGCGACGGGTCTGATCCCAGCCCAAGCCTGGGGGCAGCACTGGAGAGGAAAAGCAGAGGAAAAGGACAGCAATGAATGTGGGATCAGGAAGCAGCCCTTGGTCCGGGAGAAGAGGCTTCCCCTTGCTCGGCGGAGGGGCCACAATGGACCTTGTTCCTCTCAGCACCACGCTGTCTATTCCATGCACAAGCCACGGCCAGCTGCTTGCGCTAATGATTGTATATTACCCCAATCTAATTACGTGCTGTTTGGTCTGGATTCAAGCAGAAATCGCAGGGGCCCTGTCCTAACGCAGATGAATTTTGACAGGGGGCTCAGCTGAGTGCAGGACATCAGTGTGCGCGGGGAGGCGGTTGCTGGAGCTCGGAGCGGGCAGATGGATCTGCTGTCTGCATGCAGCAGTTTGGCCTTGATTCTTTGCAGCCAAGGACTGGCTTCTCCTTCCCTGCATCTTCTCCTTCTCTGTATACCTGGTCTTTCAGATGCAATGACTTTGAGTGACCGACCATCCATCCATCCATCCATCCATCCATCCATCCATCTTTCTTCTCTTCTTCCCTCTGCATGTTTGGGCCTTTTGACCAAATGCAGCGCTTCCTGGTTGTGGTGACCTCAAGGATACCCTTCCTACAGGCAGCTCGATAAAGGGAGCAAGTTCCCTTTTGCCCCTACCCTCCAGGGAAGGCCTGAAGTGGGAGCACAGCCCTGGCACTAGGCACTGGAGACCCACCAAGCGAGGGAATAGATGTGTGAGCGAAGGGCAGCGGCTTCCTCAACCCCCCTGCTCTCAGGACACGCTGCCTCGGTCGGCAGGATCCCAATTCCTCTCACTGAGCACCGGGAAATGGGTGGCGCTTAAAGGGAGGCTGTGAAGGCAGAACATGCTTTGTGTTTATTTTTAGGCAGGAGCGACTGAGTTTGTGGGTTTTTTCCCCCCTTCCCTATGGCAAAGAAATCCTAAAGTTTCCCATGCGAGTGCAGCCCGAGGGAGGATGCGTGTGGGCTGCGAGCCTGTGCTTTGCATTCCACTTACGTGTATATTTAGACGTTAGATTTCTAGCCCCCCGAGTGAGACCTTCTTCTGCAGCTCTCCATGCGCTTCCCGCCCTTGGAAAACACAATTGCAGCCGCAAGAACAAGACGCGGGTCCCCGCGGCCGCCGGCTCTCCCCGGCGCCGACAATTTCCTCCTCCGAGCACACGCTGTTGGGAGGCGCGCGCTTGCCGCGAGCTGCGAGCAGCTCCTTCCCCGGCCCTCACGGCGCTCCTCGTGTGCTGCCCTAGGCTCGTGTGGGGCCGAGCGGGAAGGTAACGGGCTCAGCTGAAGGGCAGAGGCGCCTGAACTGCGTGCCGGGCAGGTCCTGAATTTCCCGACTTGGCCAAGGGACTTGGCGTGTAGCACAGGGAGCCAGGGAGTGCAGGAGCATGAGCTGGGAATATTTTTTCATTAAAGGAGTTACAGCATTCGTTTAGTTTGGGGATTGAATTAGCTGTGGACTCTGCCTGCCCTGCCCTCTCTGCACGGCAACCTACTGCTGCCTGAAGCGAAGGAAAAGGGCCTGGCGGAGGCTCTATGGAGCGAGGTGATGCCTAACGAGGGATAGTGGGAATACGTGGTGCGGAAAAAGGGGTTGCTCAGGAGTGAGGACTATGTCTTAGTGCTGAAGAAGTAGGGAGGTGATGTGGGAGCTGCCAGAAGGGCAGGAGCAGCTGGCAGCTCGGCAGCCCTTCAAACAAGAGCAGGGCAAGGTGGAGCTGAAGGCTGGGTATGGAGCTCGCTCCCGATGGCGATGCTTCACCACGGCTTTCGGCGTGCTCAGGGATCCAGGGGAAGGTGGAGCGGTGGCCGGGCTGGCGCCCCGGTGCATGTGCACGGTGGCCACCCACCCCGTGGTGGTCCTCGCTCCACGGCAGCCTTTGGAGAGAGCAGGCACATGACACGGCGGGTCTGGTAACGAGTATTTTTAACAACTCCACCGAGTTGGGGGAGGCACCATCTGACTGGAGAATAACGAATGTAATGCCTATATTTAAAAGTGGGGGGAGTAGGAAAAAGTAAGCCAGGCAGGAATAGGACTGTAAGCCTGACCTCAATCGCATGCCATTTTAGAACAGATTTTTGAAGGCACAAGAGGAAAATGAATCATGGGTTTGCCAAAGGTAGGTCATGCCAGGCTAACCTGGCATCGGAGGCCTGGTTTCCAAGCGGAGGAAAAACGCAGGGCTCCTCTCCGTAGTAAAGCATTTGGTAGGGGAAGCTGTTTATGAGCGAGAGAAGATGGGAAGTGGAAGAGGAGCTGTGAGGCCGGCAAGAAGTGAGCAGCATGGAGACGGTGCTGGATGGTGCCGAGCGGCTGCTGGCGCCTCGGGGCTGGCTGTGGATGGTGCTTCTCGAGGCACAACGTGTCGGGCAGCTTTCCTGAGCGGGACATGGAGGCCGTGGCCTCGAGTGGAGGACTCGTGGCCTGGAGAGGGAGGCCCAGCCTACGCCTGAGCCTCTTGCTTTGGGCTCCTATTTCCAAGAGGCCTAAGCCGGAGCAGGGAAGGGGCTGCTGGATAAATTTGGGAGGGAGAACCTGTCATATGAGGGAAAAAACGAGGGGAGACATAGCTCTGGCTAGCACAGTAAAGGCTGGGAATGGCCATGATCAATATCTATAACATATAAGGCTGGGGAACAGGAAGGAGAAGAGCTCTTTAAGCCAAAGGCCTATGCTGGCAAAAGAACAAGCGGGTATAAACTGGCCACAAATAAATTTAGGATGAAATTAGAGCAACCATGAGAGTGTCTGCCGGAGGCCAAGCCTTCCCTTGGGACGGTGCCTTTGAAGGGAGGGCTGGCAGGGGCTGCGGGGAGGTTGTGTGGAGGGAGACGGCCGTGGACGACATCCACGTGGAGGATCGGAGCGGGGAGCGGAGCGCGGCTCGGGGCTCTGCGGCCAACAGGACACGCGGCCAGGCTCGCTGGGTGCTGGGCTCTCCTGGGCAGACGCGCTTTAGCTTTGAGTGTGGAAAGAAGGGAGCACATACATATGCATGTGCATAAACGTCCATATTTATGCACGGGTTTCAGGCCGTGCAAGCGTTGGCTGTGCCTGTAAAGTGGTAGGTGCAGCCGGGAGAGGCAGCTTGGGAGCGGCTGCTGGTGTCATTAGCTGATAACCCCCGGGAATTTGCTGCTAAGTGGTCACCTCTCTTCTAGCTGCTGGGCAGGGAAACTGCCGGCTGTTGATTTCTTTGGAAGCTCTTGGAGTCTCCTCGGAGTGATCGGCTGGCTCCTTTGCCAGCACCCACTCCCTTTCTCCCGAGGAGGCTGCCATCGGCTCTGGTGGCTTTTCCCAGCCACAGCAGCTTTCCCGGCCTGCCTGGGAGCTGGAAACACCCGGCCCCGCCTGGGGTTCCCGAGACACCCAGAAGACCATTGCACTAAAGTCAGTGCCACTGGGGACGAGCGCGGTGACCCCAGCCGGAGTTGGCTTGTGCCAGTGACTCGGACACAGACGAGACCTTAACTAGCACCGGGAAGAGGGGCGAAGAGCAGACGGGTGTTTCATAGCCACGAGATGGATGCCACCTCCCCCTGGGCAGTCCCGTTGTGCCGCAGCGCCAGGGCAGCGAGGCGTCAGGCGGGTTCGTGGCAAGAGCTGCTTTATTAAAAGCCTCTGTGAGTAATTGCCCAGAGGCACAGAGCGGGGCTGGCCGGGAGCCCTGCGAGCTGTCAGGCTTTGCCCTGCGGTTAGAGCTCTCCCGGCCCCGGTCTTGGCCAAGGCTGCGAGCTGGCAGCAAGGCACCCGCGAGAGCTTGGTCAGTCTCCCTCAATAAACACAGGCGTAAGCGGCTGGTGCGAAGGGGGAAGGAGCCTCTTCTCTGCACCCGGGACTCGTGGGCTGGCTCGGGACACGCTACCTCCTGGCTGTGCTGGTGTTGAATGTAATGCATGCTCTCATTTCTGTTTTCCCTTCCAGACCAATGATGCCTTAGGAGCCACCTGGAACTGGCTGTACTTCATCCCCCTCATCATCATTGGATCCTTCTTTGTGCTCAACCTCGTCCTGGGGGTGCTGTCAGGGTAAGTGGGTGATTGAATCTGGAACTGGGAGAGGGTGCGATGGCTGCAGCTCGTGGGTTCCTGCAGTGTCATTTTCCATCCAAGGGGCTGTTGTCTCCACACTCCTAAGCAAGGCCACCCTAAGAGGTGTCACGTATTTTGTCCCCCTTGCTGAAGAAGCTTTCTTGCTTGCCTACCCTGTTGGAAAGCTCATGTTTTTGGTCACCTGTGGGAAATTGGCAGAGTAAAGCTTCTGGTTGATGGTGCCAGGGTGGAGAGAGATGGGGAGAGGGTCACGGAAACGTGTCCGAGTCGGGATGAGTACAAAAATGGGTGTGTTTGGTGGCTGAGGGCGGGTACAGGGAGGGATGTGAGGCATGTGGGGGGCTGCATCAGGGCACATCTGTGGTTATAGCAGGCATCAGGGGAGGGGGATAAGCTGCCCTGTGAAGGGAGGTTTTGGTGGGATTTGGTGGGATGACTGTGGACACGTGGGGAACATGGGGACAACACAGCCGGACGTCCCCGTTCCGCTGTTCCTGGAGTGAAGACGAGATTTTAATCCAAGCCATTAGGCTGGGTTTGGAAAGAAAAAAAGCTTCTTGTCTCCATGGCGATGAACCGCGGTTGCATCAGCACATCCCGAACCGCTGGCAGGGCTGGGTGCGCGCGGGGCGCGGGGCGGACGAGCCCTCCGCCGTGCGGGCGGCCCTTTCCCGTCCCTCGCGCTGGCCAGGCGCTGCGGGCAGCTCGCTCAGCCAGGTGCCCCTCAGGGAAACCTGCCCGAAGCTGCTGGCGTGGCACCGGTTAACCCAGGGCTCGTTCTGCCTTTCGGCTGGAGCCAGCGGCTCAGGGAGATAAGCGGGACAAGCATTTGGGCTGCCCGACAGGGAGGAAGACGTTATGGGTTATGGAGATGTCTGTGCAGGGCTGGGTGGCTTTTATATTTCTTTGGCTGTGTCCGGTTTGGGCATTTGAGCAAATCCAGCTGGATGTCAGCATCACACTGCACCTTTCCTGCAAACAGCCAAGAAGGAAGCATGGGGCTGGGAAACTGGCAGAGCCCTTTGGTGCTGTGTTGAAGGCTGCCAGCGTAACACGCTGACAGGCTTTGGGTGCCTGGGTGACTCTTGAGAATGACCCAAGGATGCCAAACACAGCAAGAGAAGACCCCTCGGACCTGCAAGGCCGAGGGATGGGCCAAGCAGAGCCATATGTCGGCAGCAGGACCCTGGAGTTGCAGGACGCGCTGCTTGCCCAGCCAGGGCTGCGCGAGGCGGCTCTTCCCTGCTCAGTCGGATGCCGTTTCCTAGGGCTCTTCCCAGGCACCGGCTGGCATCTCCACTGTTTGTTTATTGCTGATAGGGTTTGTATTGGGGAAGGATGCAAGTGGGCGGTTGGCCTAATTGGCAGTGGAGACGCTCTAGTGGCGTGCCAGGTACCTAGGGAGAAGCACGACTGCTCGGTTCCCCTGAGGGCTGAATGAGGTGAGGATGGAGGTGAGCTGGGCTCCGCGGCCCCCGCGGCAAGTCCACCTTGTGCCCCACTGCCCTGGGACAGCTGGATGAGCAGCCACCTCAACAGGCCCTCCTACCTTGCCATGGTCCCAAAGCTGCAGCGGGTGCACCAAGATCACCAGTGTCCGTGGACGTGCTGCCCTCAAGTCCTGGCTGCAGTGGGAAGCAGGACATCCTCTAGACTGCGTAGTCAGTGTGTGCTGTGGAGGCAAGGAGGCAGAGGGAGCTTCTGCCCACAAAGGACACAGTCCTTGAATGAAAACACACAAAGATTAGGTTCACTGGGAATGACTCTTTTCCTTGCTTTGTTTGTTTAGCTTTTGCTGTTTTTAACAGTTCTTTCACTCCTTTTGTGCTAGAAGAAGCTGGAGTATTGGGTGCAGGTCTGGGCTCCCCAGCACAGGACAAGAGGGACGTGGAGCTTCTACAGAGGGTCCAGTGTAGAGCCACGAAGATGGACAAAGGGACTGAAGTATCTATCATACAAGGAAAGACTAAGTGAGCTGGGCCTGTTTAGCCTGGAGAAGAGAAGGTCAAGAGGGGATCTGATCAATATATCTAAGTACCTGAGAGGAGAATGTAGGAAGGAAGGGGCCAAGCTCTTCTTGGTGGTGGCCAGTGGCAGGACAAGGGATAATGGGTACAAATCGAAACCCAAGCAGTTCCATCTGCATATGAGGAAGAACTTCTTTCCTGTGAGGGTGCCAGAGCCCTGGAACAGGCTGCCCAGGGAGGTTGTGGAGTCTCCTTCTCTGGAGATCTTCCAAATCTGCCTGGACGTGACCGGGCACCCCATGCTCTGGGTGTCCCTGGTTCAGCAGGAAGGTTGGACTAGATGATCTCTAGAGGTCCCTTCCAACCTCAACCATTCTGTGATTCTGTGAAAGCAGCTGGCTCCCCTCCAGGAGCCGAAGCGTGACCTTTCCATTCTTGTGTCTCTTAGTTAGATGAACAACCCAGGGAAATGCCTGGATGGTCTCTGCTCCCTTTTCATTCCTCTCAGCTTAAACGAGCTTGAAGGTGAAGGTCACTTTGCTGATGAGCTCCATGGAAACGCCTTCATGTGAAGGAAATGTTTCCTTTGGGTTACGACACTACTTTGGAGGAAGGTTCCTCTGAGGACGTGGTGAGTCTTAGCCTGAGCAATGGTGAAGCAGAGGGCTGTCTCTGCCTGGAAGGGCAGGGCCCTAGCAGTGACAGAAGCAGAGATCCCTAAAGCGATGGGGACTTGGCTGTTGTCCCCATGGCTGGTAGAGGGCTGGACATGGTATTACTAGAACAGCAACACCACTCTTAAGATGCTTGTAACCATGCCAAAGCAATTACTGGCTTAATCTCTGCAAACCATATTTTGGTATGAGCGACCTTATCACCTGCTCTCTAAACTCTCCTCCCGTACACAAGAAAGTTATGTCACTAAGTGACTAAGACCTAGTGACCTCTACGTGGTGGTGCCTCTAGGGACAGAAGCCTCTGTTAGTGCTGGCCAAGGGGGCCATGTCCCGTGCCCTCTAGCACGGCATTGCTTACTGAGACTTCAGCTGACTGAAGGAGGAGAGAGATGTCACTATACATTGGCCCAAACCAAAGATCATCTGTATAATACAAACTCTCCTTCATCTGCATCTTCATGCAATGAGAAGAATGGAAACCTGGGCACACGCTGCTTGCGAACGGCACCATCTGCACTGACTAAGGATGAGATCCGTTTGGGATCTCCATCCTTGCTCTGCAAGTTCACACACACAAATTGCGGCAGAGCTGCTTCTCTGCCCTTACTTTATCCTGGCAGCTGTTTTCATTAGGGAAACAATGAAACATCTGAGGTAAGTCCTGCATGCAAAGAGGCTGTGACGTGGACATTTGCGTGTTTAATTTGCCACCATCAGAAGTTTGCCGGAGCCCGGATTTAGTAATCCTCTGGCTGCAAGGCACTTCTCTCAACAGTCAGTTCCCCAACTGTTAAACTGAGGCATGACCTCCGTGATGTAAACAGCCTGAATCCATCTGCTCCTTAGCACAAAGTATGTGGGAGAGAAAGAGAAATGAATTCCATCATACTAAGGCTCCTCGCTTTTCTCTCTCAATACTAACACACACATATACATAGGAATTGTATTGTAATGCTGTTAAGAGGAGATGGAGTCGCTCCAGGCAGGGACCTGGAGAGCCGGTTCTTCTGGGGATTTGGCATTTATGACTGCGTCTATTAACTCTGCCCCTCTGTGGGTGCAATTACGGATCAATTAATTCTAATTGAAAGCAGGAAGGAAAAAATTGGCCCTGTTCTACTTAGAGAACATTTTGCAGGTATAAAGCCCAAGGAGATGTGACTGCTCAGCTTTTAAAGCTTCAAAAGGTACTGAAGTAATCTTGGCAGATGAGAGCTGGTCAAAGCAAGCAAGGATGTAACATCAGCTAAAAGGGCCAGTTTTCTGCCGTGTAGTATCTGTGGATTTGGGAATTAGGAAGGTTTGTAGCACTCTCCTGAGTTGTTGCTGACTACTGTAGCATGTCCTAACGAGGATGTAATTCAGCACTCTCCTGGAAGAGGGTACAACCAGAGCTGTGCCTCTTCCCAGGGAAAACTGCTGTTGTATGGAGGGATATTCTTATGTCACCAGCCATCTGTCTGCTGCTGGAGGGATAAGAGGCATGGATGGTACCTCCTTCCACCCTGCTGTTGTTGATCCTTTGGAGGCAGTGCCCTGAGATCACGCTATGGGTTCTGAATCACAGGAGTGCAGAAGTTGCACGTGCCCCATGCTGGAGTCTTGCAAAGGTCTCCTCTGCCTTTTTTGTGCAGTGGGTTTTCTTCTCTTGCTCGCGTGCAACAATGTGGATCTGTTGGTTCATGCTACATCTCTGAAGCAGCAACGCACCCCAGCACCATGTACCTGGTTAAGCATCGTGCTGCCCGTTCCGCTCGGCCTGTGGCCTGCACGATGAAGAAGCAGTAATATTTCCTGCAGCACCTCGTCTGGTGAGGACCATAACTAATGGCTCACTCCACCCAAGCCAGACACTGCAGAGGTCCTGTTTGCTTTGTCCCTCCTGGTGAGAAGGTGGCTTGTGTCTAGCTTGTCCTCAAACAGACCAAAGACCAGAGAGAGTGAAATAAGCAGTGCTTAAAGATATAGTGTTCAGAACTGTTTCTGGAGGTTTCTGGAGATTAGACAGGCTGTGTTTTGACTCTCTTCTATTGTCTTCTCCAGCATCTACAAAGAAAATCAGGTTTGCAGTAAAGCCCTCCTCTGTGTATTGCCGCATTTGTCTTCTTGTTGAGGTTTGATTGCCCTGGTAGACTCCTTTCCCCTCTACACTCTTGAACTTCCCACACCTTTAAGGATGAAAAGCTGCTAAAATCACCAATATTCACAGCCTGGCTCAGGAGCTGTATGTGTCCGGTGTGGAAGGTGATGCTATCCACAGGGCTGACCTACTGAAAAGGCCAGGTCTTTGGGTCTGATGTACTGCTGAAGAGAAGCCCTCTTGAAGCTGATG